GGCCTATCCCAAGTTTGCCAGATTGGTGTGGTGCTGGCGGACGACCCCGGCACGCTCCCCTCGATTCCGACTGCGGCTGTTCAAATCCCTCAGTACTTGGTCAAGAGCATCGCCAGGGGGAGGGGCTCTCACCAAGAACAAGGCTTTGGGCTTGACATGCCCAAAACCAAAATCAGGCCTTAGGTAGGTGTCCTATAGGTGATTTGGTTGAACATGGAGGCCCTTGTTGCGGTGTCGTTTTCTGGTTCGTCCTGTGTCACCCAGTTCAAAGGGAATCAAAAATCCTTCCTTGGGGTTCCGTACTTGTTCGGCCAAGTTGTTCACCCCCGAAGAACAAGGTTAATCCCAAAGAACGGGGGACATACAAGTGGGTTATAACCTAGGCCGACAATTGACGAACTTGGCGAATCGAACACCCAAGTTGGTTGGGTCTGTTCGAATGATACCAGGTTGTTCGTTTTAGGACACGGCAGAAACACGCGGGCGCGGGCTAGAAATGGACGTTCCTTTCAGGAAGATCCAAGGGTTTTGGTCCGCTGTGTTAGTTTCAACTGCAGCTGGGTGAAAGCAGATGGCACAATTCCAAGTGTCTTCACTGTTGTTGGCATGTGTTTAGCCATTTTTTCATTTTGTTTAGAATGTGTAGCTGTTTTTTGTTTTCCTGTGGTTTTTGTTGGTTCTGTTCATTTTCAGTGGACTGCAACAAACAAAGTTGTTTTGCTCCCATACCAAAGGTTGGCAAGTTGTGGTTTAATAATTCCCTAGTAAGCACAAAGGGCCATCTCCATTCACCCACCCAGATGTATGTGAGCAACGGGCACCATCATCGTCACTTACCAAATTGCAAGCTCCTTAGGCGGGACAATAGATATGCTGATTGTGAGTGTGTTTGTGACATGTTAGCGTGGGACGAGCTCCATGGCCGGGTGATAGGATTCCCGAAATTGATTTCTCGGATGTGTTGCTTATTTAATTTACTTGCCTGTTGAATTGGCAACCCTTTGCACTTCTGCTTCCAAAACCCAAAACAAATTACCGTTCAGACTCGCAAGCCCAGGTATTTCTTGATTAAGTATTGATTCCCTGAACACTTTGTTGTTTGACTGTAGCTGTTGCTACTGTGTCTTTCATCTTCCAGCACCCTGGGTAGGCTCTGGGGTTATTTGGAGCAGCTTTCAGGCGGGTTCTAAGGGTGTTGGGGATA